CAGGATGTCCTCTTCTCGCAAAAATATCTCCATTAAGGCGCTTATCGCCTTCTTACCTGAGATGTTTGTGTACATGGATTGTGCATCAAAACTCACCAACAGCTCCGACCCCACTAACCCAATGTTCTGGATTCTTTAAGAAAATTCATAAGAATTCTTGACGGTATTCAACAGTCTGTCATTTACTTTCTTGGGCTTCAAGCAAATGAATTTCGCTAGTTTATGCATTGCTCCATGCTTGTTGTTGACTATTAGTTTTAAAGGATTCCCTTCCTTGTGTATCTTCGGTAGTCCGTAGGCTGTCGGTGGTCCTGCCTCATTTTTTATTCAAGATTTAATCATCCATCTGTAAATTTCCCCATTATTATGCATTTCCTTGAGCATATTCTTAAGTGTGCCGTTGATCTTCGTGGTTGGATCCTTGCTTAGTATTTGATAAGTTTTCCGGTCGCCAAGGATACTTTCCATTTTCTCCGTGTATTGTTTCTTGTCCATTACAACCGTCAACCCTCCCTTATCCGCCTAAAAAACTATTTGATCATTATTTTTGAATTTTTTTCTTATACCAGCCAATTTGCTTCTGTGTATCGGTTCTTGATGTGTCAGGATTTGTGGGATTATTTTCAGTTCCATCTCCCGCCTTGTATATTCTGGATATTTATCCGTTATGTTGACAACTTTCACCAGGATATCACTAAGAACTTTTCCTTTATTACGTGGTGAAAAATGTAACCCCTTCTTTAAGAGATTCGTAGTTTCAATATCAAGAGGGATTGAAGATAGGTTTACTACCTTTGTGCTATCCTCGACTTACAGTTGATGCCTTCAATAGAGAACAATCACAATTTGCCCGGCTTGGCTTGGTCTTGCGTTGTCTTATTATCCCATAGCTAAGCAATTTCTTATCATGTCGCTTATTTATGAGATCCCGGACCCTCTGTAACTTCTGGTCGGTCATGCTCTGGAGATTTGAAAATCATCCAAGGCGAGAACCCTACCTAAATCCTTCCTTAACTTAGACATAAGACCTATGAACTTAAATAACCTACGCCTCTCGGTCTCAAAATTTTCCTCTAATTTTTGCATGGAAGCGTGATAAAGAATTTCATTCAATGTGTCAAAATGACACTTCCTTATTAAATAGCAGAATCGGGGAGCGATACCATAATTTTTGCAATAATTCAAAAAGGCCAAATTGAAGAGTTGTTGTATGGTGCTAAGAATGGCGATACTCACTGACAATGCCGACTACGATGTCGGCGAAACGTCTGGGAATGTACCACGTCCACGGTTCAACTTTGGAAATGATCATGCAGACAATGGACTCCGGACTAGTTGCATTCCTCTAAGTCTTCCTACCAATATGACAGAGTTGCGAAAACAAGGTCAAACAACTTCTATACAACCAAAGGGGACTGCGAGCACACAAAAGGCCACACCATCTTGGTCTTCATACTTTTGATTAAAAGCTATTTATGTTTAATTAATAGACTGAAGAAGAAAGAGGGTGGTGAGCTGCCGACTAAAAGAAGACGATATAACTTGCCAGTTCAGTGTTAATTCTAACCACATTTGCATTCGTTTGACAAGTCTACTAAGCCTAGCAACCCAACCAGACGCCCAGGATTAAGCAATTCCATACATGCCTTTCCTTGGCTCATCAGACTTTAATGACCCTAGGTAGAAGGGATATGACTGGTGGCTTTGTAACCTGACTTACACGCGTACAAGCTTATATCGCATCATATCAAACGGACTTACTTTCGGGTGCACGCAATCTCGGGAATGCTTATCCTTTGGTCATTAGATCTTGATGACCCAGGCTTGATCATCGGCTCTTTTGAAGTTAACATGAGTTATGGCGGACATTATAAACTCTGGCTTAGACACATACAGACGTTAACATACACTACCGCACAGACCTTTACACTCAAATATATTTACGATACTTAATCTAAAAAAGAACTAACCAAATCAATCAAAACCATAAATATCCATATATATTTGCATTTTTTATTATGAGATACTATATAATATAGGAGAGCCCGACAGCTGTCATGACTTAGATTTAGCTTGAAGCTTTTGCAAGAATGGGTTTCGGCTCTGATGAAGTCTGCCACTCGGAATGTCATCAATGATGTCTCGTAGATTCCATCACCCCAAATGACCTATTAAGCCAAAAAGCTGCAAAACGACGGAAATTAACCATAGTCTCATGGTGAGACTGAATTACGAAATGTACCAAATGAAAGCCTCCACAACAGTAGGTTTTATTTTAAGAAAAAATTTTAATTAATTATGGTGATTAAAAACGTTCTTCATTTTATTTTTCTTAATCCGAAAGGGATCTAGTAAATGGTTTTAAGAATAATTATTTTGAGCTAGCTTTTGTTAATATGCATGTTTGTAAATATAAAATAATTCACTTCTCGGTCGATTTTCATTAGTCTAGGAGTCAGAATTTTGAAATGTATTATCTATACATTATATTAAAAAATTTTTGTGTAAGTTTGTTTTCCTCGCTTTAGTTATAATTGTTTAGTTAACGCTATGTAAAAGATTATGTAAATTTTAATACTGTTACTTATGTTTTCTCGATTTTATGGTTGGTATAGACCACTTTAGTTTTAAGGGCTGTCAACCTTGCAGTGATTATCATATCCATGAAAGCTTTTTCTTTTAGAAGTAAACAATGATTTGCATTTCGAGGATAAATGTTTTCTCTGGAGTAAACAATTAGATGCTGATAAAGTTGTGTAGTAGTTTTTGAGGATTATTGTTTCGTGGATGGTTTACTTTATTTTTTTAGTGTTATGCCTGCTAATAATATTGATAGTAGAATTCACTGGTCCCTCAGACGTAGCCGCAGCCCAAAGGTGTTATCATGCCGCCCACGAAGACGAAGAAGCCTGTTCAATCAGACGGAAGTAAAATAAGCCCCTCATGCACGGCTAAACTGCAGGTAAAAGGCTTAGATCTGTAGAGGTACCCTTACGGTAAGCTAGATGTTGCGGTGGCCGAGCATCTTTTAAAGGAGCTTGAGAGCTTATAAATGAGGCAACTAAATTGTCACTGACCGTTCCAAGTGCAGAGGCGGCCGTGGCCGCTAGGCTACCGGCGGCCCCGGAGACTCCTTCTCCACCAGACAGAATTCCATTTCCGAGCCCGTGTGATCCAGAGGCCCCTTTGTTTGTCCCGGTCCCACATCCTCCTGCGCCGTTCGCCCCTGCACCTCCAGAGTGAGTTCCAGGTCCTTCCTGGCCTCTGATTGACTGCATGATTGACGATTCCATCAGGTCAACATATCGTAGGACAAGAGGCGCGAATATCTCTGTAAGTTGAATGTGAAACTTTCCACCACGAAGAGACTCTATACATAAGAGAGAAGGCGCAAGTCAAACTCGCTAGTATGTGGTGCGACTGCTGAGAAAATATTTTAATACAATTCTTAAACTATTTAGTAGCGATTTTAGATATAATACTTTTATTAAAGAACTTTAATGTCAACATGGTATCTCATTGCCTTTACTCTGCTTGGAGATTCAGACAGTGAGCATTCGCCACTTCTGGCTCCCTGCCATTACTTCAATGATTTGGCTAGTCATGAGAGGAAGCGGCCGGAAACGAAAAGAAGCCACAGTATATCACAGCAACTTAGGCAACGCTTGTTACTTTTTGTTTATATCATTACAGAATGTGGCAAATAATAAAACATGCGTCAAACTAAGCCTAGGTTCAAATAGGCTCGTAGTAACATTTATCAAATCAAGTTGCTTAAAGTGAAGGAAGAACACATAATTGATTTTCCCGGAATGAAATTAATAGAAGGCCTAACCATGCCATTGAATTTCACTTAGCATCGTCTGTCAAAAGCTGGTGCGCAGGAATGGCGCATTCATCGGTTCATATTGAGTCCACTAGAATGACAGAGGTACTAACGTCGCCCGTCACATGATAATAAAACTCAACAAGGATTCATCGGGGGTAGCAAGACAGTGCTCCAAGGAAAAATTCACACAAAGTTACATTCCATCTCCAAAGTGATGCTCCTGCAGCTTCAGGTGAGACTAAGTTACGAATCCCTTCCACTCGCCTCTTAAAATGAAATAAAAGGTACTCCGACATCAATCTATTAAGAAACATTTCAAAACTCAGCTTTTCATCATATAAACTTTAAGTCTTTGCAATCCATACACTCATCCATTGGAGCGGTTTAAGGGCTTTACATTGCATTTAAGGTATGAAGACCAAGATGGTGTGGCCTCTTGTCTGGTCGCAGTCTACTTTCGTTGAATAAAAGTTGTTTGACCTTGTTTTCGTAAATTGGTCATATTAGTAGGAAGCCTTAGAGGAACGCACCTAGTCCGGAGTCAATTGTATGCATCATTATTTCCATAGTAGGACCGTGGACGTGATACACTCCCAGTGAGTTTTACCATTCGTAGCACCATATTACAAAGAGACAAAGAGACAAGTGAAGCCCATCGTTTGACCAGACGTGTGCAAACAGTTTTGATATCTCCACTTCTAACCTGGTCTATTCACATTTCCTATATCGTCCTATCATGCCTGCTCTGTTAAAATTTTTACCGTGCATATTTTTAATGTAGTGTGATGTGCTCCTTCGAGCGGCATTCATGAAACCCTTTACACTCCACACTGTCGTTATCACTCCTTTCACACTTGTGCTGAGAATGTAGACCAGATTCTGTCATATTGTTACGTAGTCCTTCCTTGGGACCTATCAAAGTCTCCCTCTTGCCTCGTCTAATCCGTCTGCTATCTCCCTTGTACATGTATTTCACTCGAACCCTGCCCCTCATCTGTGCTATTCGAGGCGTAATTCGTCCATCCCCAGCAGCTGGGTGATTAATT